CATAAATATACTACTTTATTTATTCCCTATTGGTGCTACCTAAGTATTTTTTGTTAAGAATTTTAAAGCATTAATTGTATTATTTGTATTTAAATTTAATTTTTATTAAAGTTTCTTAATCTTGTAATATTTTTATAAATTTTATATATTCTTAATATATTAATTTTTATATTTTCAATCTATTTATAATACTTACTTAATTGTTGTTTTTATTTTATGAAAGACATATTGCAACGTTTTTTTTACATAAAAGTTTTTATAGAAAATATTTAATAATGTTAATATAAGTTAAATAATAATAAAAATAAAAATTGTAATTGATTCTACTTTAATTTTTACGAATTTATTAATTTTTACAGTTTATAAATTTAAAGAAATTTGCGGGAATGGATGATAAATGTCGGACCAATCACAAACCGGAGAGAAGGTGGCCAGACTCTTATTAGAGAGTCACTAATATCAAGCAGCATATCGTCATGTTTTTGACATACTATGTCAAATATTTATTTTGACACTAAATGATACTAACGTTGCTATAAGACTGAAGAGATAAAGTTATCAAGAAGCTACTAGTAAATTTCACAGGAATCGTACTACGTATCATGATCATCAACAATCCTTTTTTTTCGTTGACCGACAGTATTGGCCAATTCATACGATATATAGCGTCTGCTATGCTTATACTCTATTAACATATTATAAAACAAGTTATTATTGCATAATAATATCAAATAATCTTAATGATATTATAATATTATAATACGCGTGTGCCCAAATATTATATAATTCACATGTAGAAAAAATGTATGTTCTTTTTTTATTGTACTCAAGTATAAAATAATTAAAATTTGTTGGACAAAAATTTGTTAGATTATTTTGCAAAACCTTATAAAAAAATTAAGTTGTTTAAAAATACCCGCCATTTTCCATTTATTCACTAAAGATAAGATACATCTAAAATAATAAACACGTTATAAATGGCCATAAAATTAAAAACAAAATTCTTAATAAGGGCATTGAACCACAATGCAAGTTGTTAAATGCAAAATTATTAAATTTAATTTTCAAATATATTAATAATAGTATACATAAAAATGAAAAGTTCAAGCCATGTTCAAAAAAGAATACTCAAAAATTTAAACCTTTTTATCTAATAATAATATATTACCATGAAAAGTAACTGATATATTATTAATAAAGGTACCAGTACAAAATGAACATACATAAAATGTATGCAACTTTCGGCCGATTTTTTAATTTCCTCCGCCTTCCGCTGTCCCCCACACCTCACCGCGCGCGGTCCAAATGCCGCACGATGTTTGAGCGATATATATACATACATATGCATATAAATCTTTACAGTATATTTAATTTCTTAAAATATAAAAATTACAAAAAATAGAGTATGATACATCATTTTATCCTTGTTATTCATCGAATATTAAAGAAAGATAAAATGATACATTGTGCGCATAATGCGTGAAACGGAACGCAGCCTATATACGTGTGAATTGTGAATACAATGTGAAAAAGGCGTTATGATTACGTAATTAAGGTGATGCTACATTCGCCTGTATTAACGATAAAACTAGCGTTTTTAATGTTTTCGTTCCTGTTTAATTTCTTCATAATAGTTTCGTAGAATAAAAATTCCTTTCCCACGATTTAAATACTTATGCTAAAATGCAGGGACCATAATCGTTATAATTTATATGCAATAAATTATACAATAACAATTATTTGTTGATAGTTATTCTCGTCCCTTCCCATAACGATTATCAAGCAATTTTTTGTTTTCTAGTCGGCGATAACGATTATCGGATGATTTTTAAATACCGATTGCCCCATAACGATTATGAGCTGATTTAACCGTTATCAGTCACCGATAACGATTATCAGCTGATTTGATCGATATCAGTCACCGATAACAATTATTAGATAGCGGATAGATCTATATGCATGTCTGATAACGATTGTATTTGTATTCTTACAGAGTCTACATTGTGATATTATTGCGGATTTTGATTAGTTGGTGATTTTGCTTAAATTTTGTTAATAGATATTTCGTTAATTTAAACTATTGTGTAATACCAGTTGTGCAATGGGTCGCAAATTGAATATATTCATAAGAGAGTTTTTCGTCGTAGACGGTAACAGCATGCTTGTCAGAATGAAAACTTTAAGAGAACTTTTTCAAGAGAACATTTAGTTATCTTTAAAATGATGTCTAAACGATATCTCATAATAATCATTTATTAGAGAATCTACCAAGAGAACTCTTTAAGATATCCGATATGAGAGATGTCTTGAAATTGTTATCTTTATGATGTCATGCTAAATGATATTAGTTTGTTTTCTCATAAAAGATATCAATATGTTGTATGATTTTTGACAGTTCAGAAACGAGACATAATTATGATATCTTTTATGAAAAATTCATTTGATGTTATTTATTAAGAAAGTTCTGTTTCAGAGATGCCAGAAGGTTTGTAGATTATCGCGCCAACGTTCTGTGAATTCATAATCTTGCCATTCACTTCATCAGCGCGAGGAGTGCAGTGATAGAGGAGAGGCCCCTATTATGAGATACCGAGTTCATTTTGTGTAATTACTAAATGTTTATTGGTAGAATTAAAAAAAAATAAATAGGTCATTTTGAAGAGAATTTAATAAGCTTTAAGATAGTGTTATGTAAAATTTAATTCAAATTTTATTTTATTTTTTAATTAAAGAAATGTAAAAAGTGAACAAATCGCAAAGTCGAAAAATTGTGCTCCTAGTATGAGATACCCCGAGAAATCGATAATAAAGCACAAAGTACATTAGTATTAGAATTTAAAAAACTTTATTTGATATTTCTAACATATCAACGAGTACAGCTTATGCGCGTAAATTGAGCATGTGATGCATTGTATTCAGGATTTGTCTTCAGTAGTAATTGGAATGAAGTATTGCAGAAACAGACCCTCAATGTTCATTCCGGTTATTCTTTTTATTATTGTACAATAACATTTATACTTTAACATCGATTTTCACTTGGGCACAGAAGTATAGATTATTTCATATTAGAAATATCCTGGGTATCTCATATTACGAGTATCACGTCTTACAGCTTTACGATCATCAAATCTAACTTCTTTAATTAAACAATTCAACATATTTCGTATTTTTCTATCAGTACGAACTTACTCTATTACTGCATGAAGAATTTATTGCCAAATAATTACTTATTAAATAATAAACAAAGATTAAAGGCTTATCTCAATGAAACTTGAAAACATTCAAACTCTAAAATTTTATTTTACAATTACTGTAGGCATGATCTAACAATGAATTTTCCACTAAATAGTTTTCAATCCAAGAGCAATAATTTCATGATAGAATCAACAGATAGCATTTATTAGTTTAGCAGAAACGCCGCTATCTCATGTTAAGCGCCTATCTCATAATAGGGGGCTTTCCTCTACTTATAGCAATTTCGGGTGGGATGCACTAGTGTACACTGGTGCATGTTAAGTCCGTGTACAATGTACATGTTCAATGTTCATGCATATGTTATATCCGTGTACTGCCCCGGTGGTAAATTAACAGTGTACAACGGTTTTAATATGCACCAGTGCACACTCATTTTCCCAGCCGAAATCGCTAATAGATACGTATCAGTGCATTCCTCGCCCTAATGAAGTGAACGGCAAGATTAATTAATTCAAACCTGCAAACATAACCTGTAAACTCTCTTTTTAAAGAAATTTATATATTAACATATAACAGATTTCTTTAAGACATCATAAATATGAATATATATGTTAATCATAAAGATGTCCAATTTAAAAAATCTTTTAAATATCATTTTTTGATTTTTGTGACATCTTTCTGTTCTCAAAAAACGACGCATTAGATAACATTCAGTTATCTTTATGTGATCTTTAAGAAGTTTCTCTAAGTTATCAGATTCAGAAATAAGACATCTTTTAGAAACCTTTTGGATAACATATTGTTATTTGAGAGTTAAGTGCAAGAACTGTGGTGGTAGTTATAATGCTCAATCGACCACGAACCTTAAAAGGCACCTTGTAAAGAAACATAGTGAAATGTATAAGTTTGAAAAACAAAACAGAGAAGAGGCCAGTGCAGAATGCAGTAGCACCAAAAAAAGAAAAACTGATGTTGTGAAAGTTCAGTTTGAGGTTTGCGAAGACACTTTTATTAAAAATTGCATCAATTTCGTTACAAAGAAAAATCTGCCTATTTCCTTCTTCGATTCTGAAGAATTTAAATATCTTACGGAAGCAACATTCAAAGCTCTGGACAAAGATCCAATTACATCGCACAATATAATGGATTACGTTGCTGAAAAATATAACAAACTAAAGCAGGAACTTATTCAGAAAATGCGCAATCGCATGCTATGTAAAAAAATTGATGCAGCAATGATATCGATCAAATCAGCTGATAATCGTTATCGATGACTGATATCGATCAAATTAGCTGATAATCGTTATTGATGACTGATAACGATTAAATCAGCTCATAATCGTTATGGGGCAATCGGTATTTAAAAATCATCCGATAATCGTTATCGCCGACTAGAAAACAAAAAATTACCTGATAATCGTTATGAACATCCTTTTTTGAAAAAAATCGAAAAATAAGGAGTCTAATCAAATTGTAATTGTTTAGTCAATGATTTTTTTAATCGAAAATCTGGAAATAATCTTTATTTTCGGTCCCTGCTAAAATGTATCTATGAAATTACAGATTTCTTTATCCATTTTTATCTTCAGCGTTGGTCGCCATGCTGAGATTAAATGGATAAAGAAATTTGATACTTTTTTCAACTTTGGACACAAAATACAATACACCAGGGCCAGGTACATTAACCTGAATATTTAAATAGTGGAGAAGAAATTTTTGTATCATATATAAATACCTTTTTTGTCATTCACAGATTCGAAAATCCTTTTACAGGATTAAAGTATACGCATCAATATGTGTCTGTGAGGTAGAATCTATATGTTAAAAACGATAAAAAATTTCAAAATTGAGTTCTTCTTTACCATATCTTTTAGTCTAATATCCAGAGTGTTCCAGAGCTGTCACGTCGTTGCATGTCATAATAACATTTGTTTCATATAAAAGCTGCGCAATCTGTACTTAAGAAATAGTAGTCCACAGACACGTAGTTTGCGCGAGAAAACAGTGTCGGTACTTAAAATTAGACTTACAATTAGACACTTTTTCGCTACGAATTTACGATACGAAAATTGGACAGATAATGCGACTGCCTGCATCACTGTCTGCATGAGATATTAATGTGGTAATATATGTAAATTTTGTCGATATGTTGTAAAACAGTAACATCTGGCGATTTCGTTAGAGTTCGAGCTTTGCTTTAGGATCTTAATTATTAATTTGGGTAAACCTTGACAAAAGGGGACCACCTTCTAATGACCTTGACCTTGACATATGTTGTCAAGATCATGACCCTATGACCTCCAATAAGTTTTAGCCGTCGCTCGCCCTTCGTTAAAAAGTTATTAATATCATAATTTTAAAATAAACGTTTCATTTTTGCTATACACGTATGATATCAAGTACTATTCTACACCTTTTCCCTGTTCAGAAACGTTAAACTTTCCACGCGAAGTTACTTTCACCCCCCTCCTCCCCCTGCTAAGGGGCATACGACTTCCATGAATAGTACTTATATATAGATAATATCATACATGTATTATATATCATATCTTAATTTTAAAACTATGATTGTTAATAACTTTTTAACGAAGGACGAGCGACGGCTAAAACCTATTGGAGATTACTCAGGATCATGACCTTGACAACATATGTCAAGGTCAAGGTCATCGGAGGGTGGTCCCCTTTTGTCAAGGTTTATCTTAATTTGTTTTAATTCGTGATAATACTGCTGTAGTTTATTAGAGTGCGTGTTTCAAGACCGACGATTGTTCGGCACGCAGTTTTGGGGGGGGGGGGGGCTACGTATATTAGTATATATACAAAATTCACGCGAAATTATATATAAGCAATTAAAAGATCCAAGCTAGACTGTATGTACATAGGCTTCGTATTCGTATTAGTTATGTTCCAATCAGACCTATCCCTAAAACTTTTATGTAACTAGAAATAAAGTAACGATAAAAGTAACTACTGAAATCGTTACCATTATCCCAAAAATGTAGCTGCGTTATCATGAACGTTACTCCGAAGAAAATGTAATATCGTTACCTATTCGTTACCGAAAAAAGTAACTTGTAACGGTATAAACGATGTTACAAATAACGCGTTACTTGCAAACTCTGCATTGAATAGTTAGAGTTATTTTTTATTAAAATTTTTTTATTGTTTTATTAGAAAGTTAATTATTACACTTATATCAGAAATATTATTTCGATATCACCTTGAATTTCTAATGGAAGACTGTTTTTGTTATGGTTACTGAAGTTATGTACCTATGGTTTTATTAATTCAGCATTGATTATATAAATTTTTCATCTTGTAAAATTTTTATGAAGAGGAAGAAATTGGCGTGGGAAAGGTAATCTGCAGAGTAAATAAATAAATTATTTCATCTAATAATGTTATAATATTTATATAAAATTTATTAATTATGCGCCGAATAATCTCTGAGCTTATTTAAAAAAAACTCTTTGATAAAAGAATTACTAATGACACGTATTTTTACTTAATAATTATCAACTCAATATGTATAAAAATCAACAAGATAACTCTAATAGCCTTAATCAAATAAATCGACGACATTAACGTACCGTAATTATATTAGTTGTTATATATTAACTTGTGTTCTTTTATTCTATACTGAAGATGGTCTGATTAAGACCGAAACGTTTATAAACTATATTTGAGAATTAAATTTAATAATTTCGCATTTGACAACTTGCGTTGTGGTTCAATGCCCTTATTAAGAATTTTTTAAATACATCTATTTCGTATGGATTATAGCGTACATGATAGTTACTTTAAGCATGACTTCGTTTCCGGACCAGCAGTAAACGAAGATTTGTACAAACATGCAAATGGTATATACTAATAAAGATGCAGCTGCAGACAGTTCCTTAATATGCATTGACAAGTAATACACACTTGTACATAATACCAGTATACTACTAAAGAATTGAACGAAGAGCACTTGGTTGAATATGATGTTTACCGTTTTAGCGTATCTGTAATGGTTTTATATTAATAATTTCAAATGTTTAAAACAATTACTATTTATATTTTGTAATATTTTTTTATTAACAATGGTATGTAAATAGCATGCATAATTTATTGGAACAAGAATTACTTGTTTCCTTAGATTGAATTTTTTTGGACAACTTACTACAAAGTGATAACACAGGGTATATCTTCGGCATTTCCGAATAATTTTTTTCAATTTACAGTATGTTCTATGAACTGAAATAAGAAAAAAAATGTTATAAATGTTATACATTAGTTCCTATTGTAAGAGCTAGACCGAGAAAAAAGTTAGGCGCTTCACCAGGCGCCGGGACTTGAACCGAGGCCTCAAGTTGTTCGTATTAGCAAGCAATCGTCTCGTCGTGGAGTCATACAGCCCAAAGACATGAACTTAGTTTATCTCTTACAATATAAAATGTTTTATAAGTTCTATTGCGAGATTTTTCGATTCTCGTAAAAAATGTGAAATTCAAAATTGCTTCGACATAAGATTTGTATTTGTATGGAACGGCAATACTATAAAATACAAAATTATTATAGAAAAAATTGTTTATACATGTTTTATATTTTTGTTATAATTTTCTAATGTAATATCTATTTTAGGACCTATGTTTATATAAAAGTTTTTTCTTATTTTAGGTTATAGAAAGTACTGTTGAAGTTTATACAAAAGATCCAGTATCACCCTGTATTAGCATCTTGAGAATGATCTGTATTCACTTTTGTGTAACAATTATCTGTTTATTGTTCCAAATAAGAGTAGTCGAATTATCTTTTAATTTTAAGCAATTTTCCATTATAAATAATAGCTATTTATACATATTATACATATGCTGTATACAATATATAGAGGTATCCCATACAGCACACCAACGTTGAATCAATCTCAGAACATTGAATTGCAACATTGCAGCAACATTGTGAAATATAGATTCAATATTGAACAGACATTGCAGAAACGTCTAATGTTTCTTAAATCTGTGTCTTACAGATATTACAATTCAACATTGATTCAACATTGATAGAATATTGATTTAATGGATATGTAATGTACATTTTATTGATTCAAAATTTATTCAACATCTATTCAACGTTTATTCAATGTAAATTATATATATATTATATAGTATGGAGTACAAGTAACATAGTCAATTTCAGAGTTAGGAAACGTTACTTTTTTTGTTGCTTTTCCGTTACTTTTTAAAATAAATATGACGTCGCAATTTTTTTTATATAATAACTAAGTTTTACTAAGTTGCAAAAGTCGACTTTGGTAAATATTCGGAAAAGGAGTGTCACTTCCAATGACTTCGATCTTGACATATGTTATCAAAAACATGCTCCTCAGTAATTTTGCCTTAATAATTAGAGGTGGCAGTTTGTTACATAGTTTTTAAGATATTTAAAGTTATAAAGTGTAGTTTTATACTAAATTTTATTAAAACGTTCCAAAAAGTCTTACTCCACGTTCCCATCTAGTACGCCAAAGGGCGTACGACTTTTTATGTAAAGCGTGTCTCACCCTACAATCCTTCCTGCCAAGGGACTTTTCACGTGAAGCGAACTCCCGACCTCCCCCCTGCTAAGGGGCATACAACTTTAATACAGGGGGAGACAAGATGCAATTAATTCTTTTGCACGGAAAGTCATACGCCTCTTGATAGGGAGAATGATGGGGTGAAACTTCCTTCGCGTGTAAAGTCGTGCGTCCTTTGATACAGAGGGAGATAAGATGGAAGTCGCTTCGCGTGGAAACTAAATATATTTTAAAGCAGAAAATTTCTATTTTGTGTAGTATAATATAATAAAAAAGAGACACCCCCCTCTTTTCACAATTATTTTGTTAATTATTTTTCAACGAATAGCGTCTGGCATCTAAAATTTACTGGATATCACTTAAAGTTATGATTTTCACAACATATGTCAAGGTCAAGGTCATTAGAAATAGTTCCTCTTTTCTGAATATTTACCTCGATTTTTCCGCAACCTTAAACAACCTTTAATTATAAGAAATTGCAACGTCATGTAAATTATAAAAAGTAATGAAAAATAACAAAAACGATAATACTCCCAATTCTATATTATACATGCTTGCGCGAGCGTATAAGAGTAATTCAAAATAACGTTTTGTCCTTAAAGGAACGTATTCTTGATCATACTCTGAGACGACTTTTCCTTTGGTAAAAGTTTGTCCAAAGCTTAGTTTTTAAACAATAAAGTGAACTAGCGTATTACAAGTCGAATACGAAAGGTAACCTGGAGTAGCGTACCTACTCACCGATGCATGCGGGGCCTTACACGCTCTTGTTAGAGCAACAGTCACGATAGTATCTAATAGCGTTTTTCACTGGCAGAGCTAGTGCGCACTCAGTGTACTTTATAATGCCTTTGTACACAAATCGACATAGAAATATATGTTTAATAAAAATAAAAAATGAATAAAACTGTAAAATCTTTAATATATTTTATTGTATTATTTGACAAAATACACAGTAGACATTTTATTAATTGAGATATCTCACTTTAACATCATATTAAAGTAGTGTATAACGACTTTTTTTAATGCGCACTAAGTACGTACTAGCCTTGCCAGTGAAAAACGCTATAAGTATTGCTAAGATAATGCATTTGATCTCTCTCTCTCTCTCTCTCTCTCTCTCTCTCTCTCTCTCTCTCTCTCTCTCCCCCCCCTCTCTCTCTTTCTCTCTCTCTCTCTGTTTTATTCCTATGCATTCATTCACTTAATCAGTGTGTTATCTATAACAATAATTATTACTAACTTTAACTTAATGATATCGAAGTATTTGTCATTTTACATTGTACAATTCTAGTAAAATCTAACTATTAAAGAATTTTTTGTATACAAAGAAAAAATCACACAAAATAATATCACGAAGTCGACATAAATATTTACAAATTACGTTTTAAGTAATAGATGTAACATAACACTTTTCTTGTAAAAAACGCAACTATACTTCTTGACACTGATAGTTAATAACATAGAATAAAAATCGAAGTCAATTACGAGTTAAAGATTATAAACTACATATTAAACACATATAGAGATTTGATAATTTCACCCTCCAACTTTTGGAAAAGGACAGATACACAATTTTACGTCGGATTATTGTCCAAAATAGAAATTTATTGCAATGACTTTGCGTGACAAATGTAACATTTTACGCAGAAATCAGATTATTTAAATATTATGATACAAATTAAATTATTACACGCATTCAGTACCGTATACGTAGATATGTAACTAAAGTATACTCGGACCCGGAGTTAGAAATAAACACTGAAACAAACTGTTAGACTGTGTTATTTTTAGAATAAATAACAGAATGAATAAATAAAACGGAATAAATACATATATGTCAATGATCTAATCTGATGCCATTCGGCAACTTGTACAAGAGATTAGAAAATGTAGTACAGCACTATATAGAAAGGAGCTTCTGTGGGCGGAGACCTGCGCGAAACGGACGAGTTTTCATCCTATGTGAGTTCTTTCTCTCGTTGAACAGAGTATAGTTCTAAAAATTGGAAAAAAGAAAATTAGAAGATAAACAATAAAGTAAACCGAGATTATGTGTGTGCGCGCGCGCACGGGTGAGAGAGAGTGAGAGAGAAAGAGAGTGAAAATTCGAATGTATTACTGTAGGCGTGTGTACTATTGTATGATTGTGTCTAAAGACCCATCTACATAAGTCGCAACACGCAGAACGCAGTTCGCAAGACTAGAAACTAACCTAACATATTTTATAGTTATAACACAGTATAACCAGTAACAACAGTAAGCGTCGGTACCTTTGATGTTGAGGTTTACGAAACACGTGACCTACAGCCATATCCTTAATTGGAAAAAGCGCCAAATTTCAAATAATAGATATCGTAAAATTAAAAATATTCAAAGTAAAATATTAATATTTTAAAAAATAACACACTACAAAAAATAATAAATATTTTTGAGATTTATTTGTTATTATATTTTATTAATTACTTATGTAACGTTATAAAATTATAAACAGTGTGATAAAACATACTTAAAAAATAAAATTTCATATAAAATAAATTGCGTATTTTATATACATATGTGATGAGTCAAAAAAATAAAAAATTCTCTTATTATTTACTTCAAAATATGGTCGTTCGGTAGTAACGCCTAATTTTTCCGACATTTTTAGAAAATTACTACTCATGTCGCTAATGAAAGCAATTACGTTTAATCCAATATCTTGTAATTTCACAATAGCTTCTAAAATAACTCTTCTTACATTATCAGCTTTAAATGTGGAATTGAGGGAAAAATAACCTAGCGGCTGTTTCCAAGATTGATATAAACCTCGTAACATAATAACAGCTACATTACACGCTGATAAAAAGGATTTGCCATGTCCATGATCTTCAAAAACCAACAACTTCATCAAGATGGATATTATAAGTAAGATTTGCTATTAAAGTAGCTTCATCCATACACATAATACAGAGTTTATCAACGTTATTAAAATTATATACTTTACTTTTTAAAACATGAAAAATATATAATCGTGTAATCCTGGTAAAATTTTTAAATTTTCTATTGAACGTTGAAGTGTTCTTGAGGTAGGTAAGTAAAAAGTATATATTGCTTAATAATTTATAACTTTTTGGTGAAGAAAAGTAAAGTTGTAAACAAAATTGTTTAAATTCCTTACAATACTTTTACCTTTTTTAGATTGTTTATGAAGTTGTGCTTGAATTTTGACAAAATAAGTAGCTATTTGTGACGGAAGAAATTTATCGCAATGCGAATTCCAATCTTCAAATGTAATTTTTTTTGTTTTAGTTTCATAAAATGCAATCTTTTTTTCTAGTCTGTTTATTTTCTTCTGAAGATAAATGTTTTTGCATCTTAACTTTTTTTTTCTTGGAATATTATAGGATAATTTTGATTCGGTTTGCGCAAACTTAGTCTCCATAACTATACCCATAATTTCGATATCCTAAAGTTAAACATTTTTTATTTTATCTTCTAGAAGTAATAAAAATTATAAAAAAATTAAAGAATTAAAAAATTAAATAAAAAAGTGAATATTTTTATTACTTACCTTTGTCAATATTAATCATTTCTTTTCCTAAATATTTATGTGTTTTAGATGTACTTGGCTCATTTACATTTATTGCATTTATATTTATTTCTGGTAATTCCATAGTAAAACATTAACATCAGCTGAAGTTTATTTTATTTGAAGAATCAGTTTCAATAATTTTTATATTTAATAAAACAATAGAACAGGTTAAAACAGAAAAAAGCATTAAAAGTTCATTACATAATTAGTAAAACTATTAATATGTTAATAATAGAAATAGTCAATGTGAATTAGTTATATTTATATTTCAATTGAATTTGATAATAAAAATGAAACTTATTAAGAAGTGTATAATATAAATATAAAATTACAATTCAGAAATAAAGTTAAAATAAATATTTCATTAATAACATTTATCATTTTAAATATGAAAATTTATTAATAAAAGTATGTAATAAAGTACTCTATAAATTTAGTATAGATTTAAACAAAACAGAATATATAATTTTTACCTTTCACATTTACTGATAAGAATTCCACATTTACTGACAAATTTATTGTTGGAATTGCATGTGATTGAAGCCTATTTTCTTAAATTATTTAAAAACATTGATGGTGTGAAATGTTCATTACAAATTCTATAATTATTATTTAACTTTTCTAAAGTTGTTTCTATACATCTATTACAAAATTGCAACCATAATTTAGCTCTAAAGGGAAAACGTATCCAAATTACTATTTTTTTAACATATGTGCGAGTGTATGTGTGTGTGTGTTGTGTGTGTGTGTGTGATTGGTAAATTTTACCTTTCGAGATCTTTTGGAAATCTAAAAAAACTAACTCCCTTAGTACCTGTCACATTTTTACAATCTTTCACAGCGCAACTATATCCACCCATTTTAATATTTCTCTTTTATTATTTTTGTGTTTTATAATGCCTACGCAGAACTGGCTCTTTGCGCCCTTCCCAATTATAAAACAAAAACGGTGAAATATAGAAAGGATACCTTTATATTCCTTTTCTACTTTTTTATTATATAATAATATTGTAGGTTACTTTGACCTTATTGAACGTTATGATTCGTAATTGGCGAACAAGCCGCCAAGCCGCCATATCGTCAGTTGGATTTCTTGCACATGCGCATTGAAATTTTATACCCTGGAATTTTAACTACTGTCGTTACTGGTTATACTGTGGTTATAATAGGTTGTAGGACGCAGAACGCAGGACGCAGGAAGTTGGGTGAATTTCAACTTTTGTATCCTGCGTCCTGCGTCCTTCATATTTCTGTCTGCAACCTATCACTGATCACAATCTGAAATACGTTTCACTCGCGACCTGCGATCTGCGTTCTGCGTCTCATGTAGAATGGCCTTATCGCAGGCGCGAGCGCATAAAACCTCGCATACATCGGTAAGCGAGCCATCTCTGCTTATTTTTCGTACTCGACTTGTAATACAACTATTTCTCTTTATATATAATAATTCAAAAACTTCGGACAATTTTTACCAAAGGAAAAGTCGTCTCAGAATATGGTCAGGAATTTGTCTCTTTTAGAACAATAAAAGGTTATTTTGAATCACTCTGTATAATAATATTAATAATAATATACATTGTACTTATATAAAGAGCAAATTAAATATATGCATAAAGACGAATTCTTATACATAACTTACTTATAAATGCTGAGATGATGACGTATACACTCCGATATTCCTGTTTTGTCTTCATTCGACAAAGGGCGTGCATGTCCTAGATATTTAACTGTCTTTTTAATTATAAATTTATGAAGACGATTTTTTAAAATTTCAAACTGAGCGCACGTTTGTAAAATCAATCCGAAGACTAAGGTTTCTGTGCCAACATTTATCATTGTGGCAAAAATTATAGTTAAAATCTGATGAATTGATATAATCCAAAATATCGTAGATACATTGTAATTGCATGGCAGCCATATTCGATAAGGCAAATGACCTTGCATAATGTTTAATACTGATCCTATTGTAGTGCCTGTAACGGAACTTGTTGCTAAAAGTGAGTATTTTATCGAACATGATCTGCAAACGTAGAACCAACGTGAAATTTTATATATTTTTATCACCATTTATGAGTACCTATATACTATTTATACTTTTAAAGAAAGTATGACCGTAAAATCGGTGTTTTTTCCACCCGTGTTTAATTTCACGGTTTTAGGACTGAATTGTGTGCCTAATAATATTTTACATTATTAATGAAAAAATAACAAATTTTTCTTTTAGAATTGATTTATAATTGACAGATATAGGGAGACTAAGTTTATTCTACGTTGAATTGATGATTTCGACATCGATTCGGCACCACTGATCTCTATTATACACTGGATAGGATATAGGATACCATTCCCTGTATAAAATTGTGTGACGGTTGGGTGACCGCCATTTTGAGAAAACTTGGTAAAATCTGGCAAACAACCAATCAGAGTCAACCCGCGGCGGTGTTGAGATTCAAACGTACAAATACCGCATTTGAACTTTACATCGTCACTGGAGCATAGTTGAATGATAAGAAATCGTCATTTTCTCTTGAAATAACATTAAATATCATTCTTTAACTAAATGATAATAAAAAACATTTCATCGTAATTAATATTTTGTAGCCTCTGAAATAAGGAACAACAATAAATCAGAACAAACTTAAGAGACAAACAGCTTACAATTATTTATTATGCAAATACGTTTTAATTAACGTTTAATGGTGGTCAATTAGTTTTGTGATCTATTCAAACAAATTGAGTTAGAAGTTGAATTTTATTGTTTTGTTTATGCAAACTTTAATAGTTACAAGTTGCGCAAAATATGTCAGCAGACGTTGTTAGCAGTTTAGCAGCAGTTTGCTAACAATATCTGATAATACATGTCTACAATTTGTTGCCAATCTGCAATCAAAAATTTTCAACAGGCTCTGCACCTAGTCTGTTTTCGCAGCCTTTACTATCAAGACCTTCACATCTTGATAACATATGTCCCCAGAAAATAAAATGTTAGCAGAATGTCGTTAACGACATTAATAATGTCGTTAACGACATTCCTTAATAAAGTTAACTTATTTTTTCCTTAATAAAATTGAAGTTAAAAATGTAAATCATTCAATTTTTCATTTTATTTTGTTGTACCATCTTAATTTTGCAACTAAATTATTTTAAATTTACTCCATTTAGCCATATAAGAAACTAGCTCCCGGCTGTTTATTTGAGTATTGGATAAAAACAGAGTGTTTTTTGTAAAAACACAGCGCCATAACTCACTTCACTAATTGCTTTTACTTTTATTATAAATTTCGTTACAAAATTTGTACGTAACCTATCGAAAATTTTTAATGTATTTGGCAGGCCGACCGAGTATCCGGAGACGTCCGATTATATCCGACTGAACACGAGTGACCAATATCGTGATTGGCTGTTTGCAAATGCATACCAGCCCCCTCCAAACAAAATCACAGATTTTTCCACCTATATCCTATCCAGTGTATAATAGAGATCAGTGTTCGGCACACAGACTTCTATATATTACACTAGACTGCTAACTTCGTCCCTTTAAATGTTGCCAATAAGTATATACAACTTTTCGTACATGCGCAGAATAACGCCCGCGCATGCGCAGGATATATCTTATGTGCTCGTATATACAATATGTTTGTGCTTGTCAAAAGGTTATATATAAGAGAGATAAAAGTTTTAAGAATATTATATTAAGAATAATATTTCCTTCGCCTTTATTTCCACAATTAAGTACTACTTTATAATGTCTCGGCATTTTAAAAATAATTATTATCGCAAGATGTATTGATATGCTGGATTCACACTGCATCCAATTTTCGTCGTACGACGACTCTGCAACCAATCGGGAAACAAAATTTTGCTTCGTATCGATGATACGATTTTTCTGATAGGTTGCAGAGTCGTCGTACGACGAAAATCGGATGCAGTGTGAATCCAGCAATATATGATACATTAATCTAATAGGGGTTAGCTGCAGTCTAGTGTAATATATAGAAGTCTGTGATTCGGCATCGATTCGGCGTTGAATTGGCGATCGCTTCTCACTGGAATGGTTTTCTATAGTTTGGTATAGAGAAATCTCGCTTTGATATACGTGTGTATTATACATATAGCTTATTAGGTTTTACTGATTGCAAAATTACTGATAACAAATTTAAAATTAGATTTTTTAAATTCAATCTGGTCGATTTAATATATTTATTTTGAAACAATACAAAAAATTAAGTAAATACAAAGGCTATTAAGAGTCAACGCTGTTAGTAGTGCGCAAAATATACAATCTTAAAATCTATGACATAGATATCATGTCGAACGTTTCGATCCTTAGTTTCGGATCATCATCAGCGACAAATACAATATAAAATTAAAAATTACTCAGAGTTGCAAACAATGATGTTGTCCCGCAGTATGTAATATACAACCAATCTGAGGTAATCTATCACTTCTTCAGGTGAAAGTATGTACAATTAGTTCGAATAATTGAGTATGTCTGTGAATTATATAATACATCAAGAATTAAAATTTATTAATAAAATTTTGATAAAACAGTAAAAATTAAATACTCAATAAGCTTACCTCAAGTTGGTCGACAAAAGACATAATATCAATTATATCACAGAAATCGCATTTATCAAATTTCATCGTCAATATGTCTGTATATGACGATGTTCAACGATATAATGAAGACCGTTATTACAAATCAACAGACCACAAACAAGTTAGGTCAAATTAATGTCATTGGTTGATAAGGCGTTTTTACTTTCGCATCCAAACTTTCATGAAAAAAATTTAAAATTCATAATTGATATCTTGTTATTTAATGACTATCCTTTGGACTTCATTTTTGAAAATGTCAGTAAAAGAATTAAATCAATTATAAATAAGCCGTCACAACTTAATTCTAATGACAATAACATAATAAGAAAAAATATAAATTGGTTAATTATACCTTACATAAAAGGATTTTCGGAAAGATTCAATAACATTGTTAATGGACTCAATCACAAAATTTCTTTCTTTAGTATTAATAAATTGAATGATTATATTAAGGTACAAAAAGATTCTATTCCACACGATACAAAAATTAATGTAATCTATAAAATAAAATGCAATGATTGTGATGCAACCTATGTTGGACAAACTAAGAGAAAATTGATAACAAGAGTTAACGAACATCGTAATCATATACGGAGGAATACTTCTTCCAAATCTGTTATCACGGATCATAGGTTGGATCATAATCATGAATTTAACTGGAATAATGTAAATATTTTGGACTGCGAAAGTTTTCATCATAAACGATTAATATCAGAAATGCTTTACATTAAGACACAAAGTAATGGTCTTAATTTAAAAACAGATACCGATGGTCTTGATCGCTCATACGCTGATATTTTAGACAAACTAATAAACATTAATTTGACCTAACTTGTTTGTGGTCTGT